ATTTATTTAATACTTAAATGTTATTTATTTTTTATTTAATACTTAAATGTTAATTATTTATTTCAATTGTTTATTAAAATTTTTTATTTAATATTTAATTACTTATTTAAATTACTTCTTCTTATATTTATTGTTCATTTAAAGTATTTAACTAATATTTAAATTCTAATTATTTATTTCAATTGTTTATTTAATATTTAATTACATATTTAAACTAGTTTTTATTATTTATATTTATTTGTTATTTATGTTAATAAATTATTTTTATTGCTTAATTAACATTTAAGTTACTTGTTTATTGAATTTATTTCAATTAGTTATTTATTATTTCAATTCATAATTTTAATTATTTTATTAATATTTATTTAATTTATTTCAATTAGTTATTTATTTTTTGTTTAAATAAACAATATACATAAATAATTAACATAATTCGTGAAATATTTAAATAAACAAATAAAGTATAAAATGAATAATTATATATTAAACAAATAATATACATAAACAATTAAAGTATTATTTGATTTATTAAATTACTTATTAAATATTTAATTTAATATTTATTTAAATATCTCATTAATTACTTTAATTGGTTATGTATATTGTTTGTTTAATATTTAATTACTTATTTTAATAGTTTATTTCATATTTATTTACTTCATTTAATTATTTATATTAATTTCTCATTTATTTGAATTGTTTATTGAATATTCAATTGTTTATTATATTTATTTCATTATTTATATTTTAAATAAAATGAAATAAAAACAATTAATTATTTTACTTAAATAAACAATTTACATAATTCATGAAATATTTATAAACAATTAAATTCAATATCAAAAAATAAAAAATGATTAAATATTTATTTAAATTCTTTATTGATATTTATTTAAATGCTTTGCAAATAATTAATTTGATTGATATTTTAATTTTCTAATTTAATTGCTTATTTTTATTATTTTATGAATGTTTAAATATTTATTTAAATTCTTTATGTATATTACTTATTTAATATTTAATTATTTCGTTTAATTTTTTTACAAACACTTATTTTCATCATTTATTTTAATTTTTTCATTGCTTATTTTAATTATTTTACTAACACTTAATTTAATTATTTATTTTAAATTAATGTTTAAATACTTTTTTTAATTCTTTATGCATATTGCTTATTTAATATTTACAAATTTATTTTAATTGCTTTGCAGAAATTTAATTTGATTGATATTTTAATTTTCTAATTTAATTGCTTATTTATTATTTTACAGATGTTTAAATATTTATTTAAGTTCTTTATGTATATTACTTATTTAATATTTAATTATTTCTTTTAACTTTTTTTACTATTACTTAATATAAAATAAGTAATTAAAACTAAATTGGCAAATAATAAATATTTAGATAAATAATAAAACATTTATATTAAGCATAAGAAATAATTTTAAATACATAATATACATTAAAATTAAACAATTCAAATAATAATTAAATATTAGACAACACAATATAAGTAATTAAAATAAATAGTTAACTTAAAAAATTAAAGGAAACAAATAAATAAGTAATTTAAAAAAAATCTGGGCCTCTAACGCCCAGTCAACTGGGCGCCCAGGCGACCCAATCAACTGGGCACCCAGACGACCCAGTCAATCAACTGGGCACCCAGACGACCCAGTCAATCAACTGAGCACCCAGGTGACCTAGTTGACTAGGTCGTCTGGGCATGTCTAAATGGCCCAGTCAGCTAGGCTAAGCGTATCTTTTGTGGAGATCGCCGGAAAATTCCATTTTTGACGATTTCTACTCCATTTTCCTTCTCCCAAGCTATTTTCTTTACCCAAAAATCATGCAATTTTCCAAAAATCAACACATGTATACAAAATCATGTTTTTTTTTTCCAAAAATCACATAAAAATATTAAATATGGGTCGTCTATTTTCCCTTTTTTATGAGTGCTACAGTATTTTTTCTCTTTCCTTACTATCTTTTCTTTCTTCTTTAAATAGCAGGGGTAAATTTGGATTTCTCTTGATTTTCAATATTTTAAACATTTTTGTTTTTTTTTTGTTTTTTTTTTAATTGGTCAAAGGCCTCTTTGGAAAAATGGCCGGGTCAACCGGCTATTAGCCACTATTTCCTCCAACTAACAGTCCCACGTTGAAATTGTCGGGTCGGGTCTAAAATTTGCTTGATTTGTAGTTGGAAAAAATTACACTGGTGATTACAATTTGTATCATTCGATGAAGTTTTGTGACCTATAATTTAATTAATCAAGTTATTATTATAATAACACTTCTTTTTTTTTAATCACAATCGCATACTAGTAAAAAATCATACAAGTCATGGTTACAAAAATACAATTTTGGGTCACAAGTATTTTAATCTCAAATCACATATTTTATTAAGTCATAAAGTACCCAATTAATCATAAAACACTTTTCAATTCATCCCACCCAGCTCTACCACCGTCGACACCATCCAAATCATTACAACCACCTCAAATTCACAGTTCACCACCGCTACCAAGCGTCAGCACCCAATCCGTCCTTCATTCAACTCTCACCTTTTCAACATTTGTAGGCTATATTGACCTCCAACTGCCTTCATCGCTACCTCGTGGGGTTTAGGATTATCCAACAACACAATTTCAAAGCTCTCTTTTGTGACGTTTTTCTATTACCAAATGTACCACTATCTTCATTTCTAACCCACAACCACAACAAGCACCCCAATCCACAACCATCACATTACGATAATCATCATCATGTTCAATTGATTAATGACTACGATGTGATGCAATAGAAGCACCGCACGATTGAGAAGCTGAAAAAGCAGTGGCGCAATAGAGAAGCGTCAGCACTAGAAGCAATGATTTTATTTGCTTCAATTAGTCATCGTTTTTTACGGTTTGGGATGGTGTGGGGTAGGGTGCTTTAGTGTGATATCTGACTTTCGAAACAATTAATTTAAATCTTGATTTTTGAAATTTAAAGTTGAATAGCAAGTTCCAGTGTAATTTTCCCTTTCTAATTCTTGTTTGTGGAAATTATACAAGTGCCTGTTTTTTAAATTTACATTTCATTAATCTTATTTTGAGCTTAATCTTTCAGAAATCAAAAATATCTCTCCACTCTCACTCTAGTCTCTCTCTCTATACCACTCCATTTCTCCATTAATCCAATAAATCTATGCATCAAGTTTTCACTCTCCAATCTCTCTAATCTACACATTTAATCAATTCAATTGCTACTCAATTGCCTCGAAATTCGATATCCAAAGTAACGAATAGGTTGTTCCGTCAATTGCAATTGGCTACCGAAATTGGTGGTGGTAGTTCCAATGGTTATGGTTTTGGGTTGCATGAGGGATGCAATCTTTTCTCTATGTTGTGGGTTTTTTGTTGCGTTTGTGGTGTTGTGATGGCGGTTGTATTGTTGGTGGTTGTAGTGAGGTGTTGGTTCTTGTCCTCTGTTGATTTGAGGAAGTGGCAGCGACGGGTTTGGGGTTTTGTGGGGGTGGTGGTCGTGGTAGAAATAGAGGTTGTGATTGTTAGTGATTGTGATTTTTTTATTATTATTTTAAGGTGGTTTTTGGTAGATTTTGAGGTGGTGGTTATGGTGTTGGGTTAGATTGGGGGCTATATAAACACATTTGTGACCAATAAATTAGGTTAATTCGTGACCAATAAAATAATAGTTTATGATATTGATGCAATGACTTGTGACCTGTGCACAATGGCCTTTGACATGTGAACTGATAATATGTCACATGTCCTTGTGTACTTGTTATGGGTCACGTATCAATGTTTACAAGTCACAGATAAAATAGAATTAGTCACAGATCACTGATTTATGTTCATATGTCAATATTAATTGGTCACATATTATAATTTTTAAGTCACAAGTCCCGGGTTATTGTTCACGGGTCATAGGTTATAATTCATAAGTCATATTGTGTAGATCACATGTGTTCACAGATCGCATGTTATAATTAACAGTTTAATATTAATTGGTCACAGACCATAGCTCATAGGTCACAGATCACCATTCATGTACCATATTGTATAGATCACAAATGTTCACAAGTCATTGATTATAGTTCGCATGTCGGTATTAATTAGTCATAGATTATAGTTCACAAATCGCCTTCATCGGTAACATATCGATGTCTACACGTCACATATTCAAGAGAATTGATTATAGCATGGAGCAATATCACAAGTAGTAAATCAATATAAATTCAAGGGAAATGATAAAATGTCATGTTCACAAATTCAATTAACCAGATTTCAAAAGGTGAGAATTGAAGTTATTTCATCCTGTGAGTAATTTTAAAAAATAGATTTAAATTACAGTAGTATTGCTTAGTCGTCGTTGAAGAAAATGATCAGTTGCCGACGATAATGCTCGGTCGATGTTCTTCAACGATCGCTATTTTTTTCCATCTCTCTTTACTATCCGAGCTAGCAATTCTTAACGACGATCTATTCGCAATCAAAGAAGATGCTTAGTTGTTAGCGATTTCTGTAGATTCTATCTTTCTGATGTTGGTGATTGTGAGTGTGGATGTCAACAAATGGATAGATGTTGACGCTAGTAAAATGGGATGACCACGGACGGATGCCGGTGACCGTGGGCCGAATTGGGAAGAGATTGATATTATTTTACATATAGTTTTTTATTTAATTAATAAACTTTAATTACTATTTGAATTTTGAAAAAGTAAACTTGTGATCTGAAAATTGAATTGGCCTAAATTCAAGGCATGAAATATGAATTTTTCCCTTCTCGTCTTACCCGCAATAACTCCCTCACGCGCAAAATTATAGAGATTTATCAAACAATTCAATCGAATTGAGTAGGATAATATTTGGGTCAAGAAAGACGTTAGTTGGGCTGTTCGAGAAACGGGCCAAGTAGAAGGCCCAAGAAACTCTAGGCACGTGACCGACACATGCATCGAAAGAGCTAGAGACTAAAGAAAAGGCGAGAGAAGCGATTAGAGAAAAAAAATGCCTTCCACGTACACACACTCGCTCTCAGTAATAGCGTATGGTTGCCGCTATCGTGCGCCTATAAAGCTATCGTTATCATATTTTACTCCGCGACACCTCCACTCTCACCGCCGTCTCACTATATCTCAATCGCCGCTTGTCTCCGCCCTCTCAGCGACCGCTTTTTTCCTTCGTTCTAGCCTCCCTAATACTCACATCTTCACGGGGAATTCTCTCTTCTCACGCATGGAGGTAACACTACCTATCTTGCACACTACTAATTCGTTTGTATATCTAACGTTATTGTATCCAATCCTTCGAATGCATGCCGTTTATTGTTCTTTTAGTTGTTTTCGAAGTGAAATTAGAGATAGAAGGTGTATATATGAAAATTTTGAAATTTAAATGGAATATAAGAATTTTGTTATGGTGATATCTCGGAGTGGAGCTGCGTTAAGGAAATATTGATTCTTGTATATATATCGCGTTAGATATTGAAAGTGCGTTTGATTTTTGTGGCCAGATTCTGGCTTGAAGTGATTGTGATTGGTTTGGGAACTGAATGACGCACCTAATTTTGTTATTGATTTGTGAGTGTAAGTATAGCATTGTTGCATTGGTTTAATTAGGGACTTATATTGTTTTTAACTTCGCAACAGTCTTATTTTCTTTTAAAAAAAGAAAAATGAATGAAATGATTATCAGAAGGAACATGTTTTCATTTCACATCCGTGTATTGACTTGAACCAGAACTCCATTGCATTTCTCGGGAAAGAAAGTTATTCTCGGTCAAGTTTTTCACTTGATTTTGCCATTTGATTTCTTTATTTTCTCACAGGTTCTGAGATGGGGCTTCCTGTTACCTCTTACTTCAATATTGTTTTATGTTTCTCAACAGCGATTCTGGACTGGAAGTGGAATCAATACAAACAAAAAAATGGTAGAGTATTTGCAGAGTCATGGAGTGATTAGGTCGAATAAAGTAGCCGAAGTAATGGAAACTATTGACAGGGCTTTGTTTGTGCCTGAGGATGCCCCACCATATATGGACAGTCCCGTGCAGATAGGCTACAATGCCACAATTTCTGCACCTCATATGCATGCTACATGCCTCGAATTGTTGGAAAACCATTTGAAGCCTGGCATGCATTCTTTGGATGTTGGCGCAGGTATTCTTTTGTCCAAGTTGTTATTGTGATCGAAAGCTTGTTGGCCAGTGACTTCAGTTATACAGTAATATGAAGTGTGTGCTTATCTTCTAGGTGCCCGCTGAGGTTGTTAGGAGTTAGCGCTTTGGTCACATACTGTTATATGAGTGTGGACTGCATATTTCTAGTAATGCAAAGAAAGTTATTGCGTAACTTGATTTTCTTGAGATCTTTTGAACTTCCACAACACTTTTCAGATTTCTGGATTATATATATATATATATATATA